CTACACCTCCTTCCTGGCCGAGCGGCCACGCATGCAGCTGGCCCTGTTCAGCTCACAGAACCGGAATCCCATCGCCAATGAGGTGACCGAGGTGTACAAGGTGAAGCGCTTCGACTATGCGCAGCCGTTCGACCACGACTTTAAGATCGACGTGCCGCTGAAGACCCGACGCAATGGCACCCTATTTCTGCACGTGGGGCTGGCCCTGGAGGGCGAGCCTCTGGAATGGCGCACCCTGAAGCGCGATGGACCCACGGTGCTGCACACGCTCAATCTCTGCGACTATATGGTGCCACGCGCCGAGACTTTTAATCTGATCAATCAAAACGAGAAGGCGGAGTCCACCGAGCAGCAGCAGCAGCAGCTCAAGAAAAAGAATCAAGCCGTTAAATCGGATAAGCCCACAACACACATTCGCTCGAACGTCTACGTGACCCTGCTGACGGACATGTTCGCTCTCTCCCAGGCGGACTTGCCGCCCGAACTGGCGCCGCTGATCCGCGTGAATCGCATGCAGCAGATTTTGCCCATCCTGCAGACGGACATGTTCAACACGAGACTGAAGCACCTGGTGCCGGTGACCAGCAACACCACCGAATTCACATTCAGCTTCCACTACAGACCCGTTGGGATGGGCAAGCTGCGACTGATGCTGCTCATGGAGCACGCCACCCTGGCGCTCAAGTCCATTGGCTTTGCCGAGAAGGACATCGACGAGGTGAAGGGCATCTTCTCCGACACGAACGTTTATCTGCTCTGTGGCACCATCTTTGTGTCCAGCGTGCACGTGAGTAGCTAGACAGATGAAGAGATCTGTCTGATGCACTTACTCCTTCCCCTTCTCCTCTCTCTTTGTCGCCCTTGCAGATGCTCTTCGACTTCCTGAGCTTCAAGAACGACGTCGCCTTCTGGCGCAAGAAGCAGTCCTACGAGGGCCTGTCCACACGGACCACCTTGTGGCGCGCCTTCTCGCAGTTCGTCATCTTCCTCTATCTGCTGGACGAACAGACCTCCTATCTGGTGCTCGTTCCCGTCGGCCTCGGCACGCTGATCGAGCTGTGGAAATGCAAGAAGATCCTGCGCCTGCACTTCACCTTTACCTCGTTCATTACCCGCAAGCTGCAGGAGGCCGAGCAGCCGGAGCCCGGCCAGCTGGCCGAGCAGCAGACGCAGCAGTTCGATCGGGAGGGCATGCGCTACCTGAGCTACCTGCTGTATCCGCTGTGTCTGGGCGGCGCTGTCTACTCGCTGCTTTATCAGCCGCACCGCTCCTGGTACAGCTGGACACTCAACTCGCTGGTGAACGGAGTCTACGCCTTCGGCTTCCTGTTCATGCTGCCGCAGCTGTTCGTCAATTACAAGCTAAAGTCGGTGGCGGCTCTGCCCTGGCGCGCCTTCATGTACAAAGCATTCAACACCTTCATCGACGACTTCTTCGCCTTCATCATCACCATGCCAACGGCCCATCGCGTCGCCTGTCTGCGCGACGACATTGTCTTCATCATCTATCTCTATCAGCGCTGGCTCTATCCCGTGGACAAGACTCGCGTCGACTCCGGCGTGGCCATTGATGAGACAGCCCCGCCAGCTGGCGACAACACCCACCCCAAGCAGGACTAGACAAAGATAGAGATAGAGGATAGATAGAGGAGCAAGAGCTAGAGCGAGAGCGAGAGCTTTAGAGAAGAGAGAAGCAACTGCTTTCATGTATATTCATGTCTATTGAAATGCAGTTGAACATTCCGTCGATTTATTTAGGCTGTAATCCATCATAAACACACACACACACACACACACACACACACACACGCACACATCAAACACACATGTAACTGTTAATTGTAGCAAATGCAAGCATCTTCAATTAATCAAATTTCGCCATCAAGTGTTTTGCTTTACATCCGCTCTATATGCATATATCCTATAGAAAGATCTCTTAATCTAGAGGCGAGCTTAAGCGAATCCTCTATAAAACCTTTTCACATAGATTGGAGTTCTGATTTGGCTCGATTAGACGTTAATATCGATAATATTTTAAGTAATAGATGAATTACCAGATCCTTGACTTTACTACGTAGTAGACTATGCCAGATCCCATAAGCATACATTGGAGCACATATTGGATGAAGTCTTGGAGTTTTGCTAGCTTCTAGACTATGTCATATTCTAGACTTACAAATCCTAGATCAGGCTAGATTCTATTATGTGATGGATTAGAGGCTTGACAGTGCCGGGTCTTAGACTAGATTCTAAATTATGCCCCTTCTTGGACTAAGATTTATCCTTGAGCATGCCAAGCCCTAACTTGGCCATATTCTAGGCTATCTCATTCAAGCATCGACAGCTTCTTTACATTTGGCTAATACATTAAAACCTTTAGAACATTTCCCTGGTCTACCTAAGTCTACATTGCATACGGGAACCTAGGGACTAGCATCTGATATATGAGCTACAGTGAATCCTTATAGCAACTACAGTACTCTTGCGCTCTAGCTAATCCTCAAGTATTGCCTCGCTCACATTTTGTATTACACTTTTTATTTGTTGGTTTTTGCAGCTATCGCTGATTTTGTTGTTGGCAAAAAAATGATAGAATTATGTATATAGTATATATATATATATATATGTATAGGGTGTGTAGCATTTAGGGCTTAAACTAAACTGCCGAAGGAAAAAAGAGTTTGCCGTACTGCTTGGACATGGACTTGGACATTGACATTGACATCGATGGAGCACAACCGCTCAGTCCACAGCTTAGCCATTGCGTATGCCCAATGCCTGCTCCAGCTCGGCGCGCTTCTGATTCACCTTGGTGAAGAAGTAGCGCGATACAGCTTCATGCGTCCAGGGCTGATAGTAGAACTCGGCGCGGCGCTCCTCCTCCGGATTGCCGACCACATCGGTCATGAGCTGGTCAGAGAACACAAAATGGTTAGAATTGCCATTTTTTGGAATGATTCCATTCTCCAGCCTTACCTTGAGATCCCGCGTCTGGCTGATTATCCAGCGGTGGATGAACATTTGCGGATCCTTGGCAAAGCTGAGAAAGAATTCGCGATTCGTTTTCATTTGGTTGATCGTGTCCACGGTCTCGTGTATCTTTGTGTCCAGTCCCTGGATCTCCTGCTGGCTAGCGGTGCTCATCAAGAAGTTATTCATTTGGTTCTTGAGCGTGTCGTCCACCTCAACGTCGATGTCGTAGCAGGCGGTCTGTTTGTTCTCTGCCCCGCTCTCAATGAAATGGTTGATCACTATCGGATCTGGCGGATGCAGCAGCGGATTCAGCCGCTGCGGTATCTCGGCGAACTTCATGCGCTGGCAGCTGAAGATCTGCTCCAAATACTTGTCGCAATTGATATACTCCCGCTCATGGGCATCCTGCAGCTTGTGCGTCTTGATGTACTGCCACAGCGCCGATATTATCACCGGCCGCGTCTGCGTGTGCACGCCCAGCAGCCGAGCGAGCCGGGGATCCAGCTTGAACTGCAGCGGCTGGTAGTCGAGCAGCAGCAGGATGGTGCAGCGCACATTGCGATCGCCGGGCCGCTTCACCTGAAACCCGTCCGTCTCCTGGGTGGTGTGTGTGCGATGCCATTCGACCAGGTGGTTGTCCGGCCCATACAGCTCCTTATCCAGCTCGATGACCAGCGACTTGAAGAATGATGAGAATTTGCGCTTAATCTTTGTGTTGGGATCGCCCTTGCCATCCTCCAGCAGCCGGCCCTCGACTCGCAGCTCCCACGACGCAACGGCACCTTCGTCTCCATCGTTGCTCGGCTCCTTGCTCGGATAGAATGTATTCGAGATGAAGATGCGCAGCTTGCGCTTCTGCTTCATTGGCCGCTTGAGCGCCTCCTGTATGTCCAGCCGCTTGCGCATGATAGTCGCGTCCAGCTTGCGTTCGAAGGTCAACAGGTCCATGTAGGCCTGTGACTCCGGCACCAGATCTCGAACCTTCTGTGGCAATATCTTGTCCGCCAGCTTCTTCTTCTTTTTGGCACCAGCGACAAATTCACCCTTGTTGGGGCCGCTGTTCAGGCTACGCGACTCGGCCGAGCGCTTACTACCGCCGCCGCCGCCACCGCCCGAGCCACTGCCGCGCAGGCCGCTCTGGAAGGTGGGCTGGGTGGTGCGCTGCAGCAGAGCGGGTCCGGGTCCAACTGGAGCGGCAACGCTGCCAGGAACGGGCTGCGTTGTGTTCGGGTGTAGCGGAAAGCCGCGTGGCTGCTCAGCCATACAGAGAAAAGAAACGAGCCCATTGTGAAAATTGAGAGATAATCGATGATTTGATTCCATCACTTACCGCGAAAGTGGAACCGGTGCCTGGCGGATAGGGACGCATTCCGGGGGCCTGGGGCGGCGGTTGGTAGCGTGACTGCACCGGCGCTTGGCCAGGCGCAAAGCGTTGAGACATCTTTAATTCTGTTTCACCTTTGCACTTGCTGCAATTCACGAAAAATTACAATTTTTTTGATTACAACAACGCTGCGTCACATAAAAAAAACTCTGTAAAATGGCGTCCTACTTAGGGTTGTAAAGTGCCAAGTGGCTATCGATAGTTTCACTGCGCAATAAATACTAAAATAACAATTTATCTATTTTGCCGATATTTTTGGGAATATATTTTGCTGAGTTTGCTTAACATCGAAAAATTTTAGTAATAAATATTATTTAGCTTATATTAAAAGATATACTTTAAATTTATATTTAAAATTTAACACAATTATTATATCTTCTTGGACCGATATATCGACGTACAAACATATGATCGCAAGCTATATTCCTATCATATTCATGGGTTTGACAATACATTTGTGGATCATTTTACATTTGTTTATTATAAATAGCGGTTACTTAATTCAAGAATATATTATTGGTGCTATCATTTAGAAACATATATAATGTTAATTAAATACTTACTACTTCTGTGATATTTGTTATTTTTAGGTATTTTGAAAGTGTACCCTAAACGGTCACACAATGAACGTGACTGGCGTTAATCGACAATCCTAGTTCTTATCGATAGGTAGGCTGTTGCTTTATTTGTTGTATTTTGCTTTTGACACTCGAATCTATATTTTGAGCAAACCGAAATATTCAGTCGAAGACACAAATATGGATGAGGAATGGTGGCAAACAAATTTACGCGAGCTAAATGCAAAGGGCAAGCGCATGGAGACGCTCACCAGCATGTATACAAAAATCAACAAACAATCGGCGCTGCCGCGAAAAATAATTGAGTTGCTCTTACGTGCGCCGGCGCTTTACGAATGCGCCGTTGTTGAGGGAACGGAGAAGGAGCCGCTAGTCAACCTGTGTACCGACTTCATGAGTACCTGTCTGGACCAACTGCAGTTCGACATCACCGACGCCTCTTTGCCGCAGCTGCTCAACCCGGCTCTGCATCATTCGAATCCCGCACTGCGTGCCCTTGTACTGAACAATCTGCTGAAGGAGTTGCGCCGTCAACAGGCCAGCACCAATAAAATTCAGCCACTGCCCAGCAACGAGCTGCTCGTCTATGTGCTTGACGAACTGCAGCAGCCTGAGACACAATGCAGCTCGGCGGCCATCAACATTCTGACCATTGTGCTCAGCCAAGGGCTGAATGATGAGCGCGTGCAGTCGAAGCTGCTGCAGCTGCTCAAGCAGAACGAGGTTGTGCGCTGTCGCGCCTACGAGCTGGGCGTCATGCTAGCCAAGCGCAGTGCCGACTCCCTGTCCTCCGTGGAGTTCATCTTGGACGCGGCGCTCAGTGAGCTGGACAACGACGACGTGCTGCTGCAGGCGAGCGTCATGGAGATACTTGTGCCACTGGCCGAGCAGAATCACGGCCTGAGCTACATGGAGAAACGCCGCGTCTTCGACATTATCAGCAGTCGGGTGCAGCGCATCGAGGAGAATCCACTGGACTCGCTGCTGATACCAAGCATTATGAAGTTCTTTGGCAAAATTGCCGCTGTCCAGCCGCAAAAGATCATCACCGGCTATCCGCATATGCTGGCCTGCCTATTCGACCTGCTAGCCTCGGGCGACGAGTCAGTGCTGCCCACGGCCATGGACACGCTGGCCAATCTAGCCAGCACCGTGCAGGGCAAGATGCTAATGCATGTCCAGTTCCAGCCGGCCATGGAGCAACTGCTGCGCAAGTATTCTGGCTACACGAAGAGCCTGTCGCCGCCGCTGAAAATCCGCATGCTCAACTCGCTCGATGTCATCTATGCGATCAATGCGCCAGTCAGCCAGGAGCTCAGGTGAGCAACCCAAATGAGTCTTTGAATAGTTCTCACTTACTATCTCTCTCTCCCTCTCCCTCTTTCGCTTTATTGCTTGCAGTGTCATTTTGAAGAACTGGTATGAGTGCTTTGCGGGCGGACAGCAGGTGAATCACATTATGGATCTGCTGCACACACCGTTTCCCGACTTGCAGCTGGCCGCGCTGGGCCTGCTGAAGACCCTCTGCCAGTACCAATGGGGCTGCAAGGCGGTGCAGTGCACGGGCGGTGCCATAGAGTTCCTGCTCTCGCGTCAGCATGATCTGCACAAGGACGTCAAGTATCTCAAGTGGCAAATCATGGAGCTGCTGTCCGTCAGCAACGAGTTCTCGGCGACCGAAATCGTTCGCTTCACCGCCTACGTGAACGAGGGGCCATATCATGTGCAGGCCGATGTCAACATAGCCACCGAACCTCAATAGAAGTAGCAATCATAGTCGTAGCTACACTGTAGAGCAACTTCTTCTACATAGTATATAAGGTTTTAGTCGACATCCTAGAGGGAGAGAGAAACGAATGTTAATTCTTTGCAGTTGCGAACTGCGCCCAAAATTCCAAATATATCTGTATTTACAATACAATTGTAATAATATAATTTATAGTAATTTAACATTTTCTTTCCTTTCGTAACTATTTAGATCACATTTATAGAGAATCGAGGGCTGCCATCCTACAGATAGCTCATGTGCCGGTGCGACATGTGCTTACGTCCCGATCCGCCGAAGCCACCGCCCATGTGAGCTAAGCTGACGCTCAGACCCGATTCGTAGGCCGTCTGCGTCTGGGAGCGCGTCTCGTTGTTGCCCAGGGAGCAGGTGGGCAGCGTGTGGCAGTAGCGACGCAACTGCTGCTTAAACGCGGCTGTCGTCAGGGTGTAGAGCACCGGATTGAGCGCCGAGTTCACTGGCAGCACCATCACTGCCAGCCAGGCATACAGATCGGGCGATATAACACAGCCTAGAAAGGCACAGATTAGAAAGAGAGGGAGAGACAGAGAGTGTGAGCTGCACTTACCTGAGAGCGCAGCCACCTTGACTACGATTATGGGCAGCCAGCAGGCGCAGTCGGTGGTCACAATGATGGCAAAGCTGCAGGAGAAAGCACAGATATTGTAATATAATATACTACTTTATGAATCGAAAAGAGATGGAAGATAGTTGCGCATTAGATTAGAGAGCGTAGCTGCTGACTTTAACTGGAACTAAATAACTGAGCTAAAGTCTAAATGTCTATTTTATGCAAAGGATTTTGGGAATTTATCAAAGCACAAAGACGACATAGAAGAAACCTTATATATAGCGTATATATTACAAAGATAGAAGTCCATTAAGACTCTTTATAAGTTGTATATACATTATGAAGGTATAGAGAGAAAAAGAGAGAGAGAGAGAGAGAGATAGTATAAACTGTAGACTTATCAGTCTATAGATAGTATAGATATAGTATATAATCTTTTTAAGCTATGTATTAACTAAAGAGGCAATCGACTGTATAGTGGAGTATATAAAATTTACATATGCTTAACATGGCCTTAATGGAGTATATAAAGTTTACATATGCTTAACATGGCCATGTTCTTCCAATACTGTAGAGACTGCTCACAGATTAAAGACCGCATATGAATTGTTTATGTATAGAGAGACTATACAAAGATCATATAGCCCTATTTTTATTGACTACCTACTATACACATACAAGTCCTTAGGAAAACATTTAGAAAATTTGTGTCCCCCTATTGGCTCTACTGTAGAAGCTGTAGTGAAGCCTGAGGGTCTCTTTCTTAGTGAATCGACTAACCGATATATTATATTTATACCAGTATACTATATATACTAGGCCATTCCCAGAGGACTAGCTCCACACAGTACTCACCGCGTCGCCACCACGCTGTCTCGCCCGCTGTGGGTGCTTCGCATGCCGCCGCCGGAGTCCCGGATGGCCTGGAGCATGCGCACATAGGAGTAGAGTATGAAGATCAGGGAGACGGTGTTGATGCAGATGAACAGCAGAGCCGAGTACTCCCAGCCCTTGGCATACGGATCGTGTATGTGCAGCGAGAGGCAGACGCCGTTATTCCCATAGAAATGCTCGCCGAAGTAGTCGTTGGTCAGGAGCGGAGCGGCGGCCAGGCCAAAGCTGATGCCCCACACCAGGAGCAGGCGCAGTACGATTCTGCAAGAATGGATTGCTCATTTCAATAGCAGCACGTTTTACAGCACTATGCACCAGTGTTGCCAAACGTCAGCTGACAGTTACCTAACTTTCTCCGTATCGCGTGGCTTCAGGGGCCTGGTGACCGACATCAGGCGATCCCAGGTGACGAGCGTGAGCAGCAGAGTCGACGACTGACAGCTGAAGGTGCTCAGGAAGCCTGCAAATAGCTCAAAATACAGTTAGTTATAGTTGGGGTTACCATCTCTATGTCTACCCACCGGCAAAGGCGCAGAGCTCGCTGTGTCGCCAGGACTCCTCGTGTCGTATGTACTGCCCGCGGAAGCTGATGTCGGCGCAGGCAATCAGCGTCAGGTAGATGCCCATTAGGAAGTCGCTGGCCGCCAGGTGGCGCAGGTAGAGCGAGTGCTCCACATTGCTGCGCGACTTGTAGAAATATCGTCCGGCCAGAACGAGCAGATTGCCAACGACGGCAATCGAAGCCATGATCCAAACGCTAGGGAAGGTGGCGGGAGAGAGAAGAGAGGAGAGGAAAGAGAGAGAGAGAGAGAGAGAGAGCAAAGCAGTGAGTACAATTGACTGATTAATTGATGGATGGCTCTATTGATAGATCGATTCACGATAAAGTGCTCGGAGGAGTGATACCCAATGCATAACAAAATAAATATTGACAGTTTATGATTGATGAAGATTTGGCTTGATTGCTTGATTGAAGCTGTGCTCACAACGTTAGTCGATGGAATGATGTGAGGAAGTGACTGATTGATTGATGGAGGGACCGATTGTTGAATCGACTGATTGATGGATTGACTGACTGGTAAACAGAGCTCTGTTGAAAAGGCGAGAAAACTATGAAATACTAAATCTTCATAGCTGAAAGAGTTTTATGAGTTGATTTATTGATAGATTGATTCGTTAATTGATTAAAATGCTTTATTGAACAACTGAAATCCCTTATTAAAAGAACATAAAGTCGTAAGATAATTTGCATATCTAGATAAAAACTTGTTTCCTGATTGAGTGAGCTTGCGCAGGAAACATCCTCTGGAACTGAGCCAAATCGACGTTTCTGGGGCTGCAATTATTTGCTGTATATTTATTCTAGCACTATGAATTATTAATAGAACAGAATATAAATAGAATGAGAACTTAATGAGAGGGGCTATTCATAGGGACAGAGAGGTGGGAGAGAGAGCGAGAGGAAGTTGTCCCATGGCGAATGCGAATGGAATATCAATTGGCATAAATTTCGGGCAATTAAAGGAAATTTAAGTGGCAAAGGCAAACTTCAACTGAATGCCATTGGCCAATTAGCTGTGTGCCATGGACGTGTGTGTGGGTGGGGGGTGCGGGCGTAGTAGACCAGGTGCTCATTATTGCAGTCATAGTTGGTGCTGAAATTAGGATTCGCCTCGGCAGAGCTCGGCGCACACAGAGGCCATGACTGTTTGTGACAATTGCGAATGCTTGGCCTTTATTTCTGATTTGATTGCCAATCGGAGTGAGAGGAGAGAGAGAGAGCTAGAAGGTGGGATGTGAGAGGTGGGTCGAGATCTGTACAGTTATCATAAAATCACTGTAATTTATGCTCGCTTCCATTCATTTGCTCTGCAAACATTTCCTTCTAGTTACACGCCAAAGCACAAGGAAGCATAACAACTTGTTGGCTTAATGCTGAAGCCAGCTCTGACGGGCAAAGATGGCTTGGAATTATGATTGAATGACACTTGCTTAAAGTTTTGGCTCCAACCGGTTTAATGGACTCGGGCTTAATGGAATTCTCAAGCTGCTCAGTTTGAATTTTTGCATAAATAATTCGTTTAGTTCTGCATGCTGAAAGTTTTCGAGCTTTTAGTTTAGATTGCACCCCATCATTCATTGCCCGAGGACTAAGCAGGGTATATTGCTGCTGTTGAAAAGTATGCAGCAGGCAGCAGGAACCGTGGGGTAGAGCCCATAAATACTGTCATATACTGGTATATCTACATTTTTGATCTGTGCGTTGGATAGAGTTACTTCCATTCGTTCATCTCTATGTGCAATACAGTTTAACTTGCCTTAAAATCATCGAAAATTTGGTGCATATCGATGAAAATCGATTTAAATCGATTATGGATATAGTGGATAACTTATTTTATTTATAGTTTTATCTAGCGTATACATATGTCTTTATTCCACCAGACCTACATGGGAATTGTAACTCACTCCATGTACGTGGCATCTCCTAGTCGACCAGGATATATACCAGTCGAGTATTCCCAGCTTTGCTCAAAGTCAAGTCGAGCTTTCAACTGAGGGCAGCTGAAGTTGGTGAAGTTTGACAACGTGCTAAAAGCGCCTGTTAATAAATTATAGGATATTTTCAACTGTTATACAACACCGTTCCGACAGCAGAGGCTATGCATCTGTTCTCTGTGTGCGCGTGGGGCTAGAGCTCTGACAAACGGCTAGAAACTGGAGACGTGTGGCATTTGCTGCTACAAGTTGCCGAAAAGCCTTTCACATATGCTCAAATAACGCTTTAAGCAGGCACCAGGTGGATATAGGGGGGAGGCAATGGAAGGCGGGGAGTGAGAGCGAAGTGAGTAGGGGGAAAACCAACAAAGAACTGAGCAAAAGTATTTAATTTTTATGAAAGCGTCAACTAAAAATAATATGATAATGTAACTGGCACATGCCAGCAAGGCAGCGCGACGTGCTGGCATCCAGAGAGAGTGAGGGAGGGGGGGGGGGAGACAGAGTGTATGTGTGTGTGTGTGTGACTGGCTGTTAATATTTGCCAGGCAGCTTAGACGCACAGCAGAGCCGAGCAGCAGTTGAACAAGTAGATTCGAATGAGGATGCTCAAACACATGGTGAAACTTACATTAAGCATACGCCCGGTTGGCTGCTGCTGGGGGGGACGGAACGTGACGGGGGCGGGGGCTTTAAAGGGTGCAAAGGAAAACTCAGACAGCACGCAGAGCGTGTAAATGTAAGCAAAACAAACAAACAAACAAACTGAGGAATGGCTGGATAGATAGCTAGATGTGCTCGATGTGTGAGGGTAGCTCAAGGAAAAACGTAATTTTCATTTTCGCTTGGTACTAGCAGGAGGCACAGGGAGAGACGGGGGCACTTGGCATCGTCTCTCACAGTCTCCACAAACAGACAGACAGTCAGCCAGCCAGCCAGCCGGATAATCACTCAGCTCAGTTAGTAGCCGATGACAAGTGTTGACTGCTGCCTGCTGCCTGCTCCTGGTTGGTTTTCCCACATGAAAATGAAAAATGCCAAATGAAAAAGACGTTTGCCCAACTTGCCAGCCCGGGTGCTCAGGCACTTGCCCAAGTTTCATATGCAAGCAAAACAACGCTAGAAATTTGTACTCGGATGCCAACGGCTGCATAATACTGGCTCAAGGCCTCAACTCAATTTGTAGATGGGTTTACGTTAAAG